CAGGGATCCTACGAGAAACTAGGGACTCTCGGATGATGACTGCCACTCCCCCACCCCTTCTCTGGTGTCGCGGCTGATGTAGCACCTGAAACCCTTCTGGGCACATTTCAGTGAGGGGGACTCCCCCCTCATGGCCCAGCCAGGTCTCAGTAATACATGCCAGGTCTGCCCCCTCGTCTAATATTAGGTCCCGGACGAGGGGAGCTTTGTGAACCACAGACCTGGCATTTAGCAACAACAGCCTGAGACTCTCGCCATCTGGTCCTGGAGTGGAACTAACAGGGCCGGAAGGAGGGATCACTGTGACGTAGCGGACCCTTCTTCCCCGGTAATGGCTAGCCCTGAAGTTCCCGTCGTACCTGCCCCTCCCTGTCATGACCATAATGCTCCAGCCCACCCCCGCACCCATAGACCCCATTTCCCCTCCCGTAGCCTCCGCTCTCTCCAGCAGGCCATTTATATCAATCATTCTAGGACGGCTATCTCTCTAAGTTTATAAATTCCCTTCATTTTTTGTGGTTTGACAAGGAAACAATCAGAAAGCTTTATTTGCACTTCAGAATAGTCAATTTTCTGTGGTATCCAAGATCAGGGAAATCCCTGTTAATGTAACTAAACAATCAAGCCTATAATATACATGTGATATTACTGCATAATTCTATCTTCTTTGCTATATAGTTTAAACTAACCAAGCAAGGATGTAACAAGAAATTACCATTCGTTTTAAAATGAAATCTAATGGCTCTGATCTTTAATGATAGTATATGCATATATTCAATATAGTATAACCATGCATGAATTTGGAGTATTTTCTTGCCTGGAGATCTGGGACAATACCTTTAGTCTATAAAAAGAGCAGTAATAGGGATGGATTTTTAAAATTATTGCTAGTTGTTTAAGGTAGCATGCCACTGATTTAAGTGCTATTAACTTTAATGAATCAAATGTGATTATTCTTCAGAGCCAACAAAAGACTGGAAAAAAATCACACAGTTTTAACAAACAGCAGAATGATGCTCACACAAGATCTGAAAAATGCCTAACAAATTTGATAGATTCATTTAATGAGAATTGTTAATCTATTTTAGAACAATAAAATTTGTAATAGTGCTAATGACACCATCCTCCAAACATCCATTAATAGGAGCAATGTCAGTGTTAAAAAGCATAGTGGAGTGATATTCAATATTGAAAAAAAGCCATTCAAGACAAGAAAATTTCTACAGGAAAGAAAAAATAGCAGTTTCTTCACATCAACATTTGGAGGGGGAGTGCTTTCTGTTTTCCCAAGGTCATGATTGATTGTAAGACTTCAGACCACTGTTTCTCAGACTTGGTAACTTTAAGTGGGTAGACTCCTATAGTTTCCTAGCCAGGATGAATATCTTAAAGTAATCAAATTTCAGAAGCATTGTTTTAGGTGCACAGCCTAAAGAGGCCAGACTACAGATTTATATAATAAATTTCTTCATTAATTTATTAGGGCAATTATCCTATAATAAATAATGAAGGGACAATATTATAAGAAGTACATGAGCAAGTCCCACTGGAGTTAATGTGGCTTAGTTTTTCAGCAGATATGGGGTGCTAATCAGGAGAATTTCATCTCACTCTGCTCCTATTCCCACTATTAAATATGTGTTTCAAAACTGCTCCAGAGTCCCAAAATATTTTGGAAGACATCCAAGAGGGGATAGAAAAAGAATCTATCCCACTAGTGATAGGTCTTTTCTTAACAGAATGATATCAGTTTTCAGCCTATGTCTTGAATTCTGATTTAGTAGTAGTATAAATAGCAGTTCTGCAACAGTATCACATAAGATAGAAGCATTGTGAAAAAATACCTGGAAAAACTGTATGAAAGCACTGCTTCTGTTCATCCCCTACTAAATAAAGGAAGGTGAGAGCCAGTTTAATGTAGTGATTAAGCTGTAGCCTAGAAACCAGGAGACTGTTACTTCTACTTCCATCTTAGGCGCAAAAGTCAACTGGATGATTTTTGCCCAGTCATATTCTCTCAGCCCAGCCTATCCACAAGGTTATTGTTGTAGAGAACATAGGAGAGAGTATTGTGTATATTTACTGCCCTGAGTTACTTATAAAGTAATAAAGGTGGGATAAAGAACTATTAAAATAAATAAATAATTCTAAATACTGACTTACCTAACAGTTCATTCAGAGAAGAGAATCTCATTTTTTTCCCATTAGGGAAAAAGACAACATTGTTTATTTCAAACATTGATGATTGCTTTTATAGGAACACTATCCAAACTCTAACCTGGTTTCTCTGTGACATTTTCTGGCCTTTTTTCCATTGGAGTACAGGCTTGAGAGCAGGTAATTCTTTTTCCTCCTTTTCCAGAATATGTTCCCCAAGGCTATATGTAGCTTCAAAGACAATTGGTGATATAACATCTTTGACTCTTCTCTATAAAGAGATTAAATGAAACAGAAAAAGAACAATTTAATTCAAAGCATAGAGGGGGTTGTAGAGGTACAAACCAGGGTATTATCATCTTGCACTGTTTTCTTTCTCCTCTGTCATGTTTTTTTCCAGTTAATTGTTCATCTTTTATACTTGATTCTAAAAGTATGCTTTCCAATTTCAGGTTTAGAAATGGGCATTTTCCACCAGTATCTTCAAATAGCTTTCAACAGCTTTTCAAGTTCAATTCACTTGGTAAACAAAACTTATCATTTGCATTTTAGTGGGGTTAGTTATTTTCATAAAAGATTTATTTTCCTAAACAGAACTTTATGAGGAAGAGGGCCAATATAACTAAGAGATATACTAAGAGCAAATGCATGGGAGAACAAATGTATGTGAGTCAACTTACAGATTCAAAATACATATAGCAACTATATGCTAAAGTTACGATTTTAATTACCTTTTCATAACATGTATAAGAACTAAGTCAACTATCCATCAAATCCACTTCAGCTGTTTCCTGAAATCCCACCAACAACTAATACAAACCATCATACCATAAAGCTAGAAACACCCCAGACTAAATGTGTGGAAGATACTCTAGCCAATCTCTTTCATTTTTTCAATGGTTCTCCATTTCCACACCCATATGCTGAACAAAAAAACGGAGCAACATATCCCAAACATGGTAAATTAAATATGGCCTTTAGAGAATTGGTGACAAAAGCTAGACATTCTGTTCAACTCACTGTTGGAATTGTTGCTTGACAGTTGGAGAGCTAGAGATATAAATTGTTACAGTATGACTAATTGAGATTATCTGAAATATCCAGCTCCAGTGTCTCGATTTACAGCTACAAATTGTAAAAAAAAAAAAAAAAAACCAGAGGAAAGAAGAAAGCAGGCAAATAAAGGGAGACTTAAATCTTATACCACCAAGAAGGAATTTGCTGAACTTTGAGAAGATTATTGAATTTGTTTACATCATGAGGGAAGAAATACGCTCTTAATTTAAAATACATTCATCCTATTTCCCTAATAAGGGAAAGGGACCATCACAAAAGGTAAGAAGACCATTTTCCATTTTCTCTCTTGCTGTAAATTGGACCACTGAATAACTGATATTATATATCAGGCATGTCAAACTTGCATTGGCACAGCAGCATCACGTGATGTATTGGGACTTTTGTCCCCTTGGCTAAACTGTGAGTTTGACAATCCTGTTACATATAATAAATATTTCAACTACTTTATTTAAAAAAACAGATGAATTGGAGTCAATATGTTTGAAAACTGCTTCAGAAAAAAATGATTCTTGAAAGGTTTAGTCTTAAATACTTTGAAAAGAGCTACTAACAATCAAGAAGGAATTATTAGTATGTTCTGGACTACCCTACCAAATAAAGATTAAGGTCTATGGATTTAGTAAGCACTAAATACTGAATTTCCATTGGAAAAGGAATTTTTTTTAAAAGTGAGAGGAAGAAGAATATAAGCTAGCTTCAGCTAATTATAATTGATAACATCCTGAAAGATAAAAAGGGTTTGCTGGCATTTTGAGTAGAAACAATCCTGTGTTAAGATTATGGATGTGCTGATTCATTGTCGGAAATCATTGCTTGTTTTCCAACAGTTTCTTTGAAGTATATGTACATGATTGTACCTGCCTGTTCTCATTCTCCCCACACTACAACATCATTGTTGTCAGTTTGCATGATGAAAGATTTGTCAGGGTCTGGGTATTTCATCACTAGTTGGGTGTAAAAAAAACACTTAGGTTTTTTTAACATGGCTTGACATTCCGTTAACCATTTCAAAGACTGGCTGTGTTTAGGTTTGTCTCCTCCTCTTTCTTTTTAGCAAATTTATGATGGGCAGCGCTATTTGGGCAAAACAAGGCATAACTTTCCTGTAAATTTGTGAATCCTATGAAGTTTTGTAACTACTTCTTTGTATGGGACAGAGCCTATTCTAGCACTGCCCTAATCTTTTCAGGGTCTATTTCGATCCCCTCTTGGGAGATTTTATAGCTCAGGTAATCTATTTTGTCCTGGTGGAATTAGCACTTGGAAAGTTTGGCATAGAATTTAGTGGCACAAAGCTTCTTAAGAATCGCTCAAATCAACCTCACATGTACTGCTTTGGTTTTGGTGTAAATTAAAATGTCATCCATATAACCAGCACCCGTTTATATATGTATTTGTGTAGTACTTCAGTAATGACTTTCATAAACACTGCAGGGGCTCCTTGTAATCCAAAAGAAAGTACTTTGAACTGGAAACAACCTACTGGGCAGTTGAAAGCAGCCTTCCATTCATTCCCCTCCCTGATTTGAATGCAGTAATACACTTCCCACAAGTCCAGCTTGCTGAAAAATTTCCCCTTTGCCAAATGGGTTAACATGTCCTTCATCATAGGGAGGGGTACACATTTGACATGCATACTGCATTCAGATTATGATAGTCAATGCAGAGATGCAAAGTTCCATCTTTTTTCTCCCTGAATAGTATTGTGGAGGATCACCATCCATCAGGCCATGCCAGTGTGACCACTTTCACTTTGGCTCCCTCCATGGGAATCTCATGCCCATATTCCTGCATGTAAGCAAGGACATGGGCCAGAAAGAATCCCAGTTGCTGGGAGTCCCTGTCAAACTTCATGCAAGGTGGGGCCTTCTGCCTCAGGACCCCACAGGGTCACCTGGCTTAAGGACATTGGCTGTCTCTCTCAATGAGGGTTCAACAGTTGTGGTAGCCCCTGCCAGGGTGGCAGATACTGCCACCATAGTGTCAAGCAATGAAGCAATGAAGCTTTACCTTCATCTTTGAATCAGGTTCCGCAGCAGGGGTGCATTTCAGCCAGTATGCACCAGTACAGGTGTACCGGTTGGTGAAATTAAGCGTGCTTTCCTGTACCTGATCTTCTGAAGGCCCCATATTGGAACACTCCCTCCCCTGGCCTGCCCCCCTACTTGCTCCACCTGCCAACCGGAGTCACCACTTGCTTGCCCCACCTGTCCACACCATGCTTGCTCCCACTTCCTTTGCCCGTCCAGTCAAGGCTTGGAGGTTGCAGGCAGCCGGGGAGGTGTGGGAGGAATGCTGCCCATCTGCCTGCTCCCTCCAGAAGCAACCAGGCAGACCCTGGGACAGTCAGCAGTCCACGCACCACTGTCAGGTGACTGCCCTGGGGCACAGCACCTGCCCAGAGGCGGCTGCAGCCGGCAACAGAACGCAAAGGAGAGGACATCCAGCAGAGTGTTACGAGGTCAGTTGGGTGGCAGGGAGGTTGCACGGGGCTGGAGGCAGCAGGGAGGCAAGACATCGAGGCCACCCTGGGTGCCTACAATGGGACACGGCAGCTGCTGGGCAGTTGCTCCTTTGTGCCCCATTGCTGGCAGCAGTTGGCTTTCTCCTGCTGATCCTTCCTCTCAGGGCGTCCAGGCAGGCCTCGGTCAGTTAGCAGCCCATGCGCCACCGCCATGTGACCCCTCTGGGGGTGCAGCCAGGAAGGAGCTCTAGGAGAATGCCAACTGCAGCTGGGAGTGTCCCCAGGCCGGTGGCGTGGCGATTGTGCGGGGCTGGATTGGAGGTGGCAGGAAGGCAGGGGTCGAGGCTATGCTTCCGTACTGGGGAAAAAAGAATATCTCGCCATCCCGGAACTGTTTCACGAGGTAAGGGAAGCAGGTCTTGGGAGAGACCTCCCCTTCCCTTCAGAGAGCCCGCATGGGGAGAGAGGAGGCAGCCTGGTTTGAACGCGGGCGGGCGGCAGTGCCTTCTTCACGTGTTCAGGCAGTGGGGGTGCTTTCTCACACGCCTTCTTTCTTTCTCCGCTTGCCTCCTTCACTCATTTGGCCAGGTGGAAAAAGAAAGAAGGTGTGTGATAGCCAAGGGCGAAGGAGTGTGCCACCTGCCACCTTCACATGTTTGGACAGTGGGGGTGCTTTCTCGCACACCTTCCTTCTTTCTCCGCCTGGCTGAATGAATGAAGGAAGCAGGCAGAGAAAGAAAGAAGGCATGCAAGAAAGCACCCCCACTGCCCGAACACGTGAAGGAGGCAAATGGCAGGCTCCTTCACCCTCGGCTATCACATACCTTCTTTCTTTTTTCAACTGGCCGAATGAGTGAAGGAGGCAGGCGGAGAAAAAAAGAAGGCATCCGAGAAAGCACCCCCACTGTCTAAATGCGTGAAGGAGGCAGGCAGCAAGCGGCAGGCTCCTTCGTACCGGCTATTACGCATCTTCTTTCTTTCTCCACCTGGATGAACAAGTGAAGGAGGCACTCACTGGCCACTAAACAGCCTGCTCACCAGCATTCAAACCAGCTCGCTTCCTCTCTCCTGGCATGGGCTCTCTGGAGGGGGAGGAAAGGTCCTTCCCAAAACCTCGCTTGTCCTGGCGGCACCCCAGCGATATCAACTGAGCAATGGAAGGAGGAATTTGGGAGTTGAAGTTCACAAGTCTTAAAGCTGTCAAATTTGAACACCCCTAGGTTTTTTTTCTAAAGGGTTAGGGGTGCAAGGGTCTTGTAACTTGACAGCTTTAAGACTTGCACACTTCAAATGCCAGAGTTCCTGAGCCAACATAACTGGAGGAGGAATTCTGGGAGTTGAAGTCCACAAGTCTTAAAGCTGTCAAGTTTGAACACCCCTGATTTTTTTCCCTAAAGTGTTATGGGTGCAAGAATCGTGTAACTTGACAACTTTAAGACTTGCGTGCTCCAAATACCAGAGTTTCTGGGCCAACATTTTGGTTGCTAAGCAAGAGCGTTGTTAAGTGAGTTTCATCACATTTTACAAGTTGGCCACACCCACCCAGTCATGACTCCCACAAAACAGGCCACACTCACAAAACAGGCCACACCTACAGAAAGGTTCTAAAAAAATTTGAAACCCACCACTGTTCCACAGCCATCATTAATGAACATTCTGGCCAGGGTATTTCATGCCTTCAAGTTCTGGAATGAACTCCATCATGGAATGCATGGTTTGCCTCATGAGAA